TTCCAGTGTCACCGACGCAGCGGCTTCAAACTGGAAGTCCTGACCCATTAAAGTAGCCTATTTTTATAGGGTTTGGGTGGCTTGGAATTCTCTCTATTCTATTGGTTTCTTTTCTAATTTTCTAAATCTATTGGATGTTGTTGGGGCTCTTGCAAAAGCGGGAAGGAGTTTACTTTAGCTTGGGGAGGGGTTCCATTCAAAAAGGGGTTAGTATGCTCAAGGATGCAGTGTACTCTTCTTATCTCTATAGAACCTCCTGTTCTTTCTCCTTGAGGTTGGAATGGCCTTCCTCCCATCTGCCTGACTCTGTTCTTATCACAACTAAGTAAATTAAGCAAATTGAGCAAATTTTTACTGCCTGAGTTAATTTGAAGTTTGGCCCTGACACCGGATGGCTTTTCAGCTCAAAATAGGGTTAATTAGGCTAAGTAGGGGGTCTTGGGATTTGGGCCCGATTGTTAGGGTCCCACAATGGACCACCTCATTGCACCTACATTTCCTCTTTTGCTGCCTGGACAGTGTGATCCCTGGCATTTGCAAAACTTCACACACAGGAGAGGAGGCTATGGGCACAGGTTTTGGGGTCCAGGAGTATGGGCAGGAGGCTAGGGTGGGCCTAGCCTTGCCCTTCTCCCCAGAGGGCACTTCATCCTCCCTGAGACCCTTGGTCCCTGCTGGGCTGAAACCCAGGAGAAGGCCCACTTCACTTGGGCAGCATGGACCGGGCCCATTCGAGGATTTCATTCCCAGCACAGAGCCAGTCTTACCCTGAGAAAGCAGGTGCAGCCAATGGGCAGACCCACGGTGCTCCATGGGAAGATACTGGGGGTGGGGACCTCTGTGTCCCAGTGTCTGGGAGAGGGCAAGGCTGCACACGATATGAAATTCCTTTATAGTTTGCGAAAGAGCAAATTGCAACTGTAGTTGTGGCTGAGTGGTTAAGGTGATGTACTGGAAATCCATTGGGGTCTCCCTGCACAGGTTCAAATCCTGCTGACTATGTCTATCTGTTTTATTCTGGTGAGTCAGAAGAGGTCACTGTCGGGGGGCTGCAGTACCTGTCTCCCACTTCTGCTTAGATGGCTCTCATCCTATCTCCAGCTGGAGGGGAGTCCCTGAACAACTGGTCAGACTAGATAGACTTCTTTCCTCCTGCAGCCTGGGCATGTATTCAAGCCCTTAACAGTTAGGGCATAATATTGAGTTACAACAACCCATCCCATGCTTTCCTATTGAAAATTTATAGTTTTGTATAATAATAGCCAGTTGTGCCTGAGGGGCACAAGATGCAATCTTTGTGTTTAACCACTTGGTTTGATGAACATCAAGCTGAATGTTAGTGCTACATGTGTGCAAGTGTCAAACCAGGATTTTTACTGACATAATGTTCTATCTAACAGATTTGCCTATGTTTACCTGAGCTTTGGGAAAGGGATATACCCACATCATTCTTTTGTTACATAAACATAAACTTTACCATAATGGGATGTGGATGTGGCTGACAGTAGCTAGGTGTGGGGACAGCAAGAACCCATCTGTGCAGTCTTCCACTTGGCAGATGAATGACAAAAATGTGTACAGGTGATTAAAAGCAACAACAGGTGTGCATTTAGGACTTTAAAAAAAGTTTTCTTTTGATATTTTTTCCTGGTAGAAGTAGCCCAATTCAACACATGAAAAACCAGACTTGCAAGTTTGAGAGGAGGTTGAAAGTGAATAATCATGTGACTCGTGCATGATGGGTGATGATGTTGGCCACGTGAGTCAAATTGCCTGTGACAGTGCAATGGAGCAAGAATCGACCAATACAGACACAGAATGAAGATTGAGATGAAGAAAATGGCAATGTTAGTATATATTTGACTAGTCAACATGGTACATAATGGTCACTCAACCAAATGAAATGATCCAATGTTAGGACTAGGTCCAAAAATTTAGTGAGAATATTGGCAGGGGTGAAACCTGTTGAACAGAATGTAGCACTGCCACTCAATGCTAGAAGTCATAACAGTTGAAATGCTACAAGATGTGAAATACACAAATGATGAAATACAAGTAAAACATTCTCTATGCACCAATAAACATACTCAAAAGTGTGTTTATTATGACACCTCACTAGCTGAACTGAAACCATACATAGGTCTGCTATACTAACAGGGCTTTCTCATGGTAATTATAGGAATGTAAAAGACTTATGGATGTAAAAGACTTATGGGAGTGGACTTGAGGCTTGTAGAATAACAGTGACACTGAGGAGATTTTGTTTCCTTCAAAATTGCCTGAGGTTTGTTGACCAAACCACTCACCAAGAAGAAAAAGATAATCTTGCTACTATTATTCTCTCATTGTTTGAGTTTGTTTCAAAAGGTCCAGCAATTTACACACCATCTGAATATTTAACTATTGATGACCATCTTGCAGCATTTCTTGGACATGGTTATTGTAGCTTTAGGCAATATATTAGGGTGGTGTAGTGTTTATGGTTGAAGGAAGGGAAGAGATTGACTCAAATCCTTTGTTTCTAACTGTACTCCAATCTCTACAAAACTGAAGCCTGAGGTGGTAACTTTTAACAACCAAACCAAAGGCAGAGTTGATGTTATGGATGAGTTATGATGTGACTTGAAACACAATGCATTGGACATTGGTTGTGTTTTACTCAGTCATAAACATGTGTGGCATAAATAGTTTGATAGTAGTTTACAAAGAAATTAACAAGTGCAAAATAAGATAGAGAAATTTTCTTAGAGAATTGAGACTCAAACTCATAAGAGATCATGTACTCAGATGATAAACAAAATGTCTCTTCCCAGGGAATGATGTAAAAAATTGTGGTGCACATAGGTGAGCTGACAGGGGAACAGGCAGGTGCAACATCACAAAGACGTACTATGACAACAGGAAAAACAAAAAGATGTCAACTGTGCCCTACAAGAAAGAACAGGAAAACAAACCATATGTGCTATTAGTATAAGTGATATTTATGCATGGAACATGCAGTTTTCATTGATAAGGACTGCCTTGGGTGTGACAATTGAAGCAAAGATTATTTCTGTAGTAGACATTTGTTTATATTTACACTGTAGTTCACATAGGAATTTATTTCTGCTGCTGCTTTTAGGTTTTATAAGCAACTAAACAATTGATGTGGAAAACATTGATGCTTATTTGCATATATGATCTTTTGTTTTATTGATATTTTATTTTCTTGATAAGTGGACATTGTATAACATAACACAAAGCTCCTGACAAAAGAGGAAGGCAAGAGAGGTGGTAAGAATGGCCTGCCACACAGGAAAGCAAAGCCAAGCACATGTGCTATCAGTGCAAGTGAGATGTGTACATAGAACATGCAGTTGTCATGTGAAGACTGCCTTAGGTGTCATAATTGAATTAAACATTATTTTTGCTGTAGAGTTCTATTGGTATTTTCATTGTAGTTCATGCAGAAATTTCTAGAATTTGTACACCAAAAGCAGTCACTTTTTTTTTTTTTTTTTTTTTTTACCAGGGATTGAACTCAGGTCCTTGAGCTTG